ATTTCACCTTTTTAGCACCTTTTGGGACGTTATCACCTTTAGTAACTTTTTAGTAACTTTTCACCTATTTTGCAATATTAATGGATATTTTGATCGATTTGCAGAAATTTATCAACAATTTGATAGCGAAGAATCGGGTTTTTATAAAGGAATTGAAAAAATTGGTTGTGGATATTAATGTTACAAATTAATTGGCATTCATTTATGCGAATTTAGATTAAAATCTCAAAAAGTATTATGTGATATAATTTAATTTTAAAAATGGATGTAATTAACTGTTTTAATGTACTATTTTAATGCAAAATAACTAACTTTTTCTTAACTTTTACCACCTTTTTATCACCTTTTCAGCCATTTTAAGCAACTTTTTAAGTACCTAAAACACTTTTTTAGTCACCTAAGAATCAATGCTTTATAAATAACACACTTTATATACAATCTATAAACTAAACACTAGACTATTTAATAAATATAAATAGATATAAGAATTGCATTAAAGGAAAATATTTATGTCGTTAATAATAATAAACGCATAAATGCTTAAAGTTTTATGAAGATTAAATGTGTGAATACAATGTTTTATGGATACTATTGGTTACAATCGCTGTCAAAGATAATTGACATAGGGTTTTATTTTATAACACGTAAAGATATCCTCAACACATCATTATTGCAATATTGATAACTATTGTAACGACAGAAATACTATACATATATATATTTGTCATTATATTCATTAATTTCTTACGCAAAACAATTGAAACACATTTTTCCTTTAAAAGTTATCACGTTTTTAATGGAAATGCAGTTTTGTGTGTTGTTTTCGCTAAAATAACGGAAATTGTTTAGTCATATTAAATCATTAATGTAAAAAATAATCAATAACTATTCAACCCAGTTGTTCTATTAGTAATAATTTAATCAAGTAATATAAAGTAACATACTTAAATAGTATTTAATCAAACAACTAAAAATAACCATGCTGTGTGTTAACTACTTAACCGGTTTATTATATATAATAAGCATCATCATAATTTATAACAATGATAGTGTTCTAGGTGGTTTAATCAGTGAGTGGATGTTACCAAACCCATGGGTATCGCCCGAGTGCGAAGAGAAATATGACCTAGCTTCAAAACAATGCGGTGAAAAACATGGCCACGAATGGAGACAACGGATATCAGCCGAAGAGATGGAGAAACCGTCGGAACAGAAAAAGATGTTTTGTTGTATGAAATACGATGTCTCCGATTGTATGGAGAAATACATTAAGGTATTTGTGTTTTGTCAACCGTAACCGTATTTTATATGATTTGGTTATTAGGCTAATGGTATGAGCTTTTTGTGATAGTTATTAATATGAAATACGATGTCTCCGATTGTATGGAGAAATACATTAAGGTATTTGTGTTTTGTCAACCGTAACCGTATTTTATATGATTTGGTTATTAGGCTAATGGTATGAGCTTTTTGTGATAGTTATTAATATTAGGAATTATTGTAAATATTATGTATCAGTAATTCTGTATTAAAATACTATTTATAGTTGGATTTAATATTTATTTAATTGGCTCTCTCTCTCTCTCTCTCCTGACATTTACATAATACCAAAACCAATACAGAAAACAAACAAAATTCACCTAATATTACATCATTTTGGTAACCAATACATGCAAAAATCACAAACACTTTCAACCAACATTCAATATCTAACCTTAAATCGCTAAATCAATAATATACCAAAAATATTGTATCTACCAAATCAATACATATAATTACCATATACAAACTTCACATCGCAACTAAACTTGATGAATAATGTATTACTTTGATTATGATTAACCATAGGCTGAATGCAACGCCGATGACTACGAAGTGATTGCCGAGATATTTGCCAAGAAAGTGGACTACTTATCAAAAGGCAATTGTAGTCAATATCCGTATAAATCAAGCGATTGTACCGTCAATTCAATGGCCGACTCTTTGCAAACAAATTCAAATTCATCGCAAACTTTGTCACAAAATCTGGCGCTTATTGTCATCTCTTTGTTGTCAGTGTTTGCTATTTCTATAATAGGATTTTTTATCTAGTTTTTTTTGGTGCTGTTTTGTTTTGACATAAGTTTTTTATGGGTTTTATGGCGTGATAATGGATGTGGCGTTAAAATATTGGTTTAACAATATAAGTTAACAATGTTATTTTTGCCGTACAAATTGCCTATTAATGTCTATTTTTATGATGTTTTATATATAATACTTTAATACCATGTTATCTACTATGTTCGGTACACTGTATGATGACCCATCACTTAGTTTTATCTGTATAAAATACATGGTTTAAATTAATCTATGATTATTCAATTTATTATAAATTATTATTAAATAAGTAAAACATTTTTACATTTATGTATCATTTAATATAAACCATGTTTAATAAAATAATTTTATTAAAACTAAATGTACTTGTTTTATATTTTTTGAATGAATGCTTTTTAAAAACAACTAAAAATTTAATACAAAAATCAATATGTTTTCAGTTATTTGATATTCCGGACACTATTGGAAACCTTATAGTAAATCAATTACTATATTGAGAGAGCGAGAGAGAGAGAGAGAGAGAGAGAGAGAGAATACATGATAAATGTTGAGTACATAATAAACAAGAGATGTGTTTAGTTTACAAGAAATTAATTTAATACTAGTGTTGACACAAATACCTTGTATTTATATTATATCCCTATTTATAGCCCAAAGTAATGTTAGATGAAATGAAAAAAATCAATCTATCCCTTTTATTCCCAAGTCTTATATAACGTGGTAAATGTTTATTTAATACGAAAACATGTATAAATTCCAGCATATTTTTATACAAGCTTTTTATTTTATCGAATAGCTTTGCTTATTGTGTTGAATATAAAATACCTTAGACTAGTATTTAATGGATATTACATTTTTACCATGTTTTCTGTTATGTATTGTACTATAAGATAGATCTTATATACAATTTATCACATGTTATGTCAAAAATGTTATTAATGTGACATTTAATACATGTAATAATACTTCCATAATTAATTCTCGTGCCAATTATTCACGCAATAAAAATTGCACATGCCTATTCAAGTGTTGGTTTTACCATAAGTTTTATTGTTACAATTTAAGTTATTGGTGCATATAAAATATTAATTTATTTATCACGTATACATTTATATAGCAATAAACTAATATCTATAATATATACCATAAACATCTTTAATTAATAAAATGCTATTAACTAAATAACTTTGTATAACTTTACTAAATATTAATTTAATTATTATAGAAATATAAAACAATGTGATATTTTCTAAAATTAAAAAATTAAAAATAATAATAAATTTAATTAAATTATAAATTGTTAAATAATTTCTAAATAATTAACAATTAAGATTATTATCATATTTTATAACAAATACTCAAGCTAAATAATAATCATATGTTTATTCAAATTATATACACAGTTTATAAAGTATTTATAAAAGTTATAAACAATTTTGAATAAATAAATAACTAATTTTTACTAAAAACTCTGTCCAATGTTCGACACAAATATATTATTAGCTTTTACTTTAAGTCTAGGATTTAATATAAGGCTTATATTTGTATACATAATACTCCAGTGCTATCAAGTGCTAAACAAACGCATCTATGGCTTTATATTGCAACAAAACCATATAAAACAATATTATAAATTCACCATAATTAAAAACCAATACAATTAATTAGCAGTAAAAGTGATATCAAAAATATAAAAAGATTTTGACATTAATTGGCAAATAAAACACAACTATAATTGATATGCTGTATACTAGACATGGGATTATACTTTACATTATTACCATGTTTTTCATGGCACATTCACGCATACGTAGTGTACAGCTATTTATATATTGATTGTTTAATACAAGCGATTTCTTAGCTTTCCTTCAAACGCCTAGTGCTTTAACTCCCAGTGCCAGTGATGGGTAAGACAAGTTAGATCTAGTGCTATTTGCTATTTTGCTTGGTAAAAAGTTAACAGGCTAATCGAATACACCCAAATGGATACCCACCCTAGGTGTTTGAATTTGTGTCTACTGTTAACGACCATGGTCATTTATTTACAGCCATCGCATGCCAACAGCAATGTATATCATAATCACAATAACTCCAAACCGTTGGCTATTTTAGGCAAATATATATCCCGTGAATGTTATGATAAGATTACGATACGTGTTATCAATTGCGATGAGATGTCAGACAAACAACTATTATTGGACAACAATTTGGACACGTCTTGGCCTTTGGTCTCATCTTCTTCTTCCTCACCATCGATGACCTCTTCCTCCATAAGTATTGAGACAAATGTCTATAAAAACAACACTTTTATCTGTTGTCTCCTATCGTCGATCACCCGATGTTTAAGGGATGCGATTATGGTTTGTAATCAGATATTTATTATGGATTTTATGGATATTTATTATAAATACTTTAGATTAACTTTATTTACCATAAGTTAATAATAGATATTTTAAATAAATACAAGAAAATATTCATTTATTTCTTATGTTTATAATATAAGTTACTTTATATTTCCCATCACTTTATGAATTATTAAATATAATTAAGGGTTTTGTTTATAATATATATCGGAAATATTTTATAAATAAATTCAAAGTTTTATTTATAGTTTTTAATTAAAATAAGATTATGGTTAATTGGCTAATAGTCTAATAATAAATTAGTTTGTAATATTAAATTAATTATTTTTAAATGCAAGAATGTTTATTCAGACAAAAAATATTGATTAGTGTGAAATATAAAAGTATTTTTTTGTGATTAAAGCAAAGTGTGTAGAAAATCAATAAGAAAGCAGGAAACTTTTATTTTTACGCATGGTTAATTTTTAGGTTATAAATGAACGTAAAATGTATGGGAATTTATTATGAATTTCTGTTTTGGCAAACATTAAACGAAAAGTATTTAATTAATTATATTGTGGAAATACAATAAATTATTTGTATGGTACAATTGGATTTAAACATTTATCAAACTATTTAATTATTTACAAAACAATCTTGTTTAAATGTAACATTTTTTAAATACTTGATTGTATAATTTGTACACCAATTTGATTGACAAAAAAGAAATTGATTTGAAATTTTAATTAATAATTATTTATTAAAATTTTTCCAATAATTATTTTAGATACTTATTAAACCCAAATTTAATTGAATAAATAAATGAAAGTTATAAAGCTAAACTATATTTGTAAAAACTCAAACATGCATTTTATATTAAAACTATCCTTTACGTTAAGTTTATAGTAATAGAAATGCATTAAAAGTTTTTACAAAAAATAAAATAACATTTTAAATATAATTTATTAAGCTAGTGTAGAAATCGGGCACTAATTCAGTATAACTGGGCTTTTAGTTTAGCACAAATATATTTATTGAATATTTACAATAGTTTTCAATAGACAATTAATAGACAATTAATACAATAAATCAATGTCTTATATACCAATTAAATAGTAAATACATACATGTAAATTTATATGATATAAACATTTTATAAACTAAAACATTATTTTGACATAACATTCCATAACAATTGCAATATTGAAAGGAAGTCAAACTTAACTCAAAACAATTCACAATAAATTCTTAGAACTTTAAATTAAAACATTTTGTTTACACTTAAATTTCCGCTCTCTACACTAGCTTATTTAACATAAACTTCAATAAACGTATAATATATATTCTAACGTATTTTAAATTATATTAATATTCATATAAATCTCCATTACTTTGCATTTAATACACTTAAATACCGATATAACAAAAAATCCAATTAAAATTTTTACAAAAATTAAATTAAATATTTAAAAACAAATATCCAAACATAGTTAAATACAGTACACTATCTATCCATATATAAAACAGACCATCTCCATCATAATAAAATTTATACGGATCATAAACCATGACATTTCATATTTACAAAATAGAAAATAAAAACATACTAAAACATAACGAGAATGTTACATTGATTATTTATTTAATCTTATAGACCATGTGCAGTACCAGCGATAAACTAACCGTACAAAATAAATTTCACCATATAATTAACACTGTCTACACCGCTGGGCCTAATTGCACCCTGGTGGGCCACAAATCACATCGTTGTAATCGTATAAACAATTTATATAACAATAATAATAATGTCGACAACTATTTGAATGACGATAAAAATAATGAGACAAATGAGACGATGATTGGCCTATTGGTGGGCAACACATCGGTGTCCGACCGGTGTATCCGTCGACTGCACGCCAACGTCCGCCGCTGTGGCGAAGAGTCGGCAATTAAGTCGGGCTTTGATAAAACTAGTCTAGATCTAGATATTGTAAAAGTACATTGTTGCGTCGGCTGGCTCCGTATGGATTGCGTCAACAAGGTGGTTGAGGTATGAAAGTTCAACTAGATTGTTTAAGTTAATTCATACTAATTCATATTATTTAAATTAAAAATAGTAGTAAATAACAGTAAAATAAAATAGATCTTGATTATTCTTAACCCATATTTTAAGATATAACTGGTTATTTAGAAATTCTAAGTTGTTATCATATTTAATTGAAATAAAATTAAATTTATAAATAATTAATATACTATTTAAAGGACGAATGCACTTTTGGTGAATATAACGAAACGCATAGCGCGTTCGAAGACCACATCCGAGAAATGAACGAAAACATGTGTCAACACTACCGCTACCATTCAGATCAATGCCTCAATGATACTAATAAGTCGTCCAGAATTTTGCAGAATATTCTATACATTATATCGATTTCTTTAGTCCTTTTATTTGATTATTTTTCTTAAAATATTTGTCATTTTGTTTTTATTTCTTGTTTCGATAAAAATATATTCAATAAAATTCTTGTTTTATTAAATTGTTTTGATTTATTATAGAAAATAAGAGAGAGAGAGAGAGAGAGA